CTGACAGCTCCCAGCCTGTGTCCCTGCTGCTGCCTGTGGGTGAGGGGGAGAGGGGCTGGGAAGCCCGGGGGAGGGAAAAGGGGGCACTCAGGTGGCCGATGGATCTGTGCCCCCCCCCCTCATTTTTAGGTAGAGCACATGCCCACTTCTCCAGCAGGGCCACTGAGGCTACGTCTACACTGCCAGTTTTCTCCGCAAAAATATGCTAATGAGGGACTCATTTGCATGAGTCGCAATCTCATCTGCATATTTTCTGCCGACCCGTTTTTGCGCTAGGGTTTTTTGCGCAAAAAAGGAGCAGTGTGGCTGTTTTCTTTTTGCGCAAAACCCCCTTTTCCCGCAAGATCGGTAGACCTCCTTTTGGGGGGCATAAGGATCTTGTGGAAAAAAGGGGGGGGTTGTGCAAAAAGAAAAAGTCCACACTGGTCATGTTTGCGCAAAAACCCCTAGCGCAAAAATGGATCGGCAGAAAATATGCAAATGAGATAGTGACTCGTGCAAATGAGTCCCTCGTTCGCATATTTTTTTCTCGAGAAAATTCAGTGTAGATGTAGCTTGGGGCACCTGACGCTGTCCTCCGCGGCCATGAGATTATGGGGGGGGGGCCTGGTTTAAACTGCTCTTATCCAAAGAACTGTCCAAAAGTCAGCGAATGGGACAAAGAACATTTGGAAAGGCCATTAAGCCGTCCACCACTCTGCAATTTTCAAGTGGTCTGTGAAAAAAAAAAAAAGTCGGACTATAAAACGATCCAAGCACCTCCCTTGATTTTCATTTACTTCTTATTACTTCTGTAGCGCCCCCTCTCCACCTGGTTACCTTCTTTTAGAGCCAATCTCCTTTCAGGTTCGGATGGATCGGTCTGGGTTCTTCTGGATCCCGCCACCTACTCAATTTTATTCTTTCTGATTGATGTACTTGGCGGTGCCTCCACCCCCCTCACTCCTTCCTAGCAGGGTCACCAGGGCAGCTTGGGAGGAAAATTCTAGCCCAGGATAATCCCCACATATTTGCCAGATAGTTGGAGACTCCCAGAAAATAACACAAACACATACACTATAATAAACACAATGATATTAAACAGGAGACAATTAGAACAGAACAGGGTAAAACACTATTTTTAGGGTCACCGGTGCCCAGCGACTGTGAGGTTAGTGTCCTGTTGGTACGCGTACTTTGTTGGGGCCCTTGATGACTGTTGACCACACAATCCTTCTCTGCAGTGGTTTAGCAGTGGGGCTGACTAGGTCCAGTACAGCCCAAAGGACTCACAAATGGGAGAAGATGGTAAATCCCTCCACAGTTTAATATGCTGCAGGTAATAAAATCCCCAAACAAATTCCCTGACTTACTAACTAAAAATTGGTGCACTTACACACTCCATGAATGAGCCTCAGGTTGAGAGATGACTCCGTCACTGCAAAGGGGCTGCTCTCTTCTCACAGGGGTCCTCTTCAAGCAGGAACCAGGCTGCTTCGGTCCCAGAATTTCCCCTCACTGTGAAGGGGTGCAGGGCTCAAGATGCAGACCACACAACTGCACCAAAATTCAAAACTACAGCCTCCCAGCATTCAGACCCACCCAGCAGGCAGCAGCCCTGAACTTGCTGCTAGAGCCGAGCTCACCATGTGGTGACTCCTCTCACCCAGGGAGCTGGAGCCTACTCAGCCTGGCTGGGGAAGCCTCCCAGCAAACTCCACAACTGGGAATCAACAGGGGAGACATAAACCCAGCGGAGGGATCCTGCCTTCAGGTCCCTAGAGGCCAGTTCTCAGGGGGATCCCTGCCTGCAGGCCTGGGGCTTACTAGCTCCCACACAGTCAGTCCTCCCCTTGCCCTGGCTGGCTCCAGACTCCTCCAACAATGGTCTCTCCTTCCCCCTGGGGGGCATCTCACTCCCCATGGGTTGCCGGGCAGACTCTGGCCCTGGTAGGGAGGGGGAGCCAAGGCAAACTCAGAGCCTCTCCCTGAGCTGCCAGCAGACAAGGCCCCGGGAATCCAAGCAATCTCCTTGGGGGTTACACTTCTAATAGAAGAGGAAGAGGAAGAAAAAAGAATGAAAAATGGGAGAGGGGGCAGAAAGAGTGAAGGTTCTTTCTCTTGGCGGGGTCCGGGAGAGGGGGGCCCAAAATGTAAACTGAGCCCAGGGCCCCACGAAAAAAGCCCCCAGCCATGGCCACCAGTATCCCAGCCTTTAATGGGGAGTCAGCGGTGTCCACATCTCCTATCAACTCCTCTGCCGAGGGGTGAGTTTCAATTGCTCCTGGCCTCTAGCGGACAGCGGATTAAGGGAACTGACAGAGGCATAAGTAACCGGTTATGGTGATTAGCGTTAGTCTAGCGCCTGTGATCGGGGCGCCGGTGTGCTAGGCGCTGTACGTACACATCACGAGAGAGACCCTCCCTGCCCCAGAGAACATGTCGCCTAAGCAGACAAGCCAATCGAAGGGTGGGAGGGGAAGCAGGCACAGAGGGGGCTTGCACATTGGTACCCCCAGGTCCTGACTCACACCCACTGCTTTGTGCATTGCCTCTTTTCATATTGATTTTCCTCCCCCCCCCCCCCCCCTCCTCCTGAGCCTTCTCTCCTGCCTGGGATACCCTGGCAGTGAAATCAGAGCTGGGGCCTGGCTTGCCCCTCTCCATCAGTGGTTAAAATAACTCCCTCCCAAGCACCAAAAGGATTTTTCGCCCTTCCCAGCCAGCTCTGTCCAGCTTGCTGCTCTGCGGCAGAGCCAGTGAAGGGTTAACCCCCCTTCCCTGACTCTCAAGGGCCTCCCACTCTGCAGCCTGGAGTATGAATAGCTCCGCTCTGTTCCCTTCCCGGCCACTTGCTCCTGGCTTTTCCGCTCCGGCCAGCAGCCCCCGTTCTTGGCAAGCAGTGCCTCAGTGTGGACCACAGCATGGAGGTCTTCCTGGCCGCCCGAGCCCTCGGGGAGGAATCCCTCCAGATGTGGGACCTCAACAAGCGCCTGGAAGCCTACTTGGCCCGGGTCAAGTTCCTGGAAGAGGAGAACGAGCTGCTGAGAGCGGAGATCCAGAGCGCCAAGGACAGCCCGGTGGAGAGCTCCTGGCGGGGCAAGTATGAGGAGGAGCTGAGCACCTTGAGGGCGACCTTGGACGACGCCTTCAGAGAGAAGCACGCGGCGGAGCTGGCCAGGGACAACCTGTCGGAGGAGATCGAGCACGTGAAGACCCGCTGCCAGAAGGAGCGGGCGGCCCAGGAAGAAGCCAAACGGCAGCTGGCCCTGAGCAAGAAGGAGCTGGAGGAGGAGAGACGGGCTCAGATCTGGCTGAGGGAGAAGGCCGCCCAGCTGGAGAAAGAAGTGGAGGTGCTGGTGGAAGTTCACGAGGAGGAGAAAGCCGGGCTGGAGCAGGAGCTGGCGAGCTTCTCCCAGAGCCTGGAGAGCTTCCGCGCCGTGCCGGTGGCTTTCCAGCCCGTGGAGGTGGAGGACTATTCCAAGAGGCTCTCGGAGATCTGGAGAGGAGCAGTGGAGACCTACAAGAGCGAGGTCTCCCAGCTGGAGAGCTCCTTCTGCCAGGCCAAGGAGAACCTCTGGAAGGCGGTGGAAGGCAACCGGCAGAACCAGCTGCAGTTGCAGCAACTGGAGAAGGAGCTGGCTGGGCTGAAAGCTCGGAAGGGGATGCTGGAAGAGAACCTCTCCAGGCAGTGGCAGGACCAGAGAGGGGAGGCTAGACCTACAAGAGCGAGGTCTCCCAGCTGGAGAGCTCCTTCTGCCAGGCCAAGGAGAACCTCTGGAAGGCGGTGGAAGGCAACCGGCAGAACCAGCTGCAGTTGCAGCAACTGGAGAAGGAGCTGGCTGGGCTGAAAGCTCGGAAGGGGATGCTGGAAGAGAACCTCTCCAGGCAGTGGCAGGACCAGAGAGGGGAGGCTGAGAAGTGCCAGGTGGGTCAGGGGGGCAGGCGGGCAGGCGGGCGGTGGAGGAAGGGAGAGGAAACACAGTGGGGCTTGCAGAGCCGTTCACTTCCGACAGGCAGCTTGGTGTGCCCAGGATCAGGTCCTGGCGCAGGAGCATTAGAATCAGGGAGACTGCGGGTCCCCTCCACACCCCATCGGGGGCTGGGACAGCTCTCCAGGGGTTAGATCCAGGGGGCGCGGGAGACAGGACTCCTGGGCTCTCCTGCAGGGAAAGGGAATGTTGTCTAGTGGTTAGAGCAGGAGTGGGGAACCTTTTTTGGATCGGGGGCCACTGACCCACAGAAAAATCAGTCGGGGGCCACACAAAAGGGAGAAGCAAAAAAGCTTCTACATTCCCTTTGCACAACAGAGCCTGGGGGCCAGGCTAGTAGATGTTGGGGGGG